ACGCTGAGCAAAATAAGACTTAGATAAATAGAATAATACCAAATTTCAGATATAAACAGAACATAAAACAGATTAGTGGCTGCCTGGGCTTGAGGGTAAATGGGTAGCAACCCACTATAAAGGGACTTGAGATAAATTTTGAGAGTGATGTGAATGTTCTCTACTTTGGTTGTGGTTATGGTTATACAGGTATGTACATCTGTCCGGAATCGTCAGGTAGCAAATTTATAATGGGTGCTTTTGTTGTGTAGAATTTGCAACTTGAAATAAAGCTGCTTTCAAAAAGCAGTGAAAGTTAGAAATCTAACACTGTGCTGACTGAGGAAACAGCCTTCTGAAAATTGAAAGAGACTAACAAATCTGGCTGGCTGGCTCTTCTGCAATCCTGGAGCTTGTAGGACACTTCCATCTGTTCTCACCTTTGCTGTGACCTGGCACAAGGCATGAAACCATTACGTCACCAACAAAGGGTTTTTCCCATGACTGTAATGACCTTACTCCTTGTGACATCTGACACAAATGCTTATTCAAAAACTATGGATTTCAAACACCCACATTACGTGTTTGCTCTATTATAACTGATTACCAACCTTTTTGCTGCTAATACTGAACCATAAACTTCATAGCTATCATTTCCCCCATCAATTTATATGCAATCTTACAATTATCAAATATTTAATAGGTTATGTGCTGAATGAACCAACACTTTTATTAACCCTGCATTCTAGTTTAAATAACAGCCACACACTGTTCTTCAGTGTGCAAAGACTTTTGAAGATAACCAACATAAAGCTAAGAATGAAAAAGAGAGACTGCAGTTACTTATATACTTCAGCCTCAGTGCTTTCTAATCACTGATGAGTTTAAAAAATGCAATTTTTGAATTACTAACTGCTATATTTTTCATTCCTGGTACTTAATTTCTTGTGTTCCCAGTTGCTTATGGGAATTTGCTCTAAGACTTGATGAAAAGTGCTTCTTCAGGAGTGAGAGAGAATGAGGATATTATAAACATTTTTGTTCAGTTTTGAGTGTCAAAAGTTGAGTTTTTTAAAATCCAAAGGAAGAGATAGAAGCCTGAAAGTCAAAGGGTATGGATTAGTCAAGAGCCAAGTTCTGGAGGTACAAAGGACTTGAAGGAATCCACAAAACTTTGTTGTGAAAATCAAGGATCACAGCCTAGCTACCAGGCAGTTTTATTCTATGAACCAGAATTGGGAAGAATTCTTAAAAATACCAGAGCAGTGTTTTCACCCAAAGTAAAAAATATGATCAAGAATCACTGGCTCAGGAATCCCTGCTTGGGAATCCTAAAGCAGAAGTGCGTATTGTCCTCTTTCCCAGTGTGTAGACCAACCTTAAATACTAACTCCACCCCTTACCTGACTCCATTCACCATGGCATTTCAGCACAGAATCCCTAGGCAAGCCAAATTGCAACTAACTCAAGATATGGCAGACCTGACTTACTGCTGCCTCTCATTCTGCATTTTGCAGAGTACTCCCATTTTGTGACAGAGGGTCTTGTGGACAAGCTTAATGGTCATGGCAAAAAGTCAACTATAGCTAGACGGTATGACATTCATGAAAATGCCCCCAAAGAACTCAACCCCAGGGGAAAATCTGACTAGAACTTACTCATCAGAACTGCTCATGGTTCATACTGACAAGTAGGTAAGAGCTTACAAACATACCAACTCCTGAGACTGACCAGTTAATCAAAGCCTGTGTGCCCTCACCAAAAAACTATAATCATAATGAAAGCCAGTGCTGTCTGTGAATGCACATAAAGAGGATTCTCAACATCCTCAACCTTTTAAAGATATTTAAAGTTTTAAGATACTACCTCAATTTTAATAATAACATAAGACAAGTATTGTGCACGTTTAATAGTTAAATCAACTTTGAAAGAGATCCAATAATCTTAACAACGTAATTACAAGGTCTTCAGAAATATCCAGGTACAGATAAAGATAGGAGTCAAAAAGATTCTCAGAGTAAAGTCATCCATACCCCTACTATTCAGTACAGTAGCCAGTGGTCGCCTAACTCTTAAGCACTTACAATGTGGCTATTCCAAATACAGATGGGCTGTTAAGTATAGAACATATAGCAGGTTTCAAAGTCTGAAAAAAAAATGTTAACACTTGATAATTTTTTATATTGATTACATGCTAAAATGATAACAGCTTGTGTATTTAAATAGCTTAGTTATTTGGTATTTTTCTGAAATATAAATTTACACTGTTGTGAAGTCTATGTTGTTACCTTAGTAGTCAAACAGCTACTAAATGATCAAGCCAATCAGAAAGCATTTTTTTTGGTTAGCAATTCTTTAAATTCTATATAATAATTAGCAGTGTATTCAAAAGTTCACAGAAAATGTTACCACAGGAATAAGGCACTATATGGCAGAATTTTAAAACTTTTATAATTATAGCATCACTAAGATACTTCAGAAAAGTAATTTTAAAAGCATTTTTATGTGGGAATCAAATCTTAAATCATGTAATATTTACAAAAACAGAGGTTTTTAACATTTTAGGCCTTGCTGTCCTGAAGTCATAGGATATCCACAAGAGAACCTCTGAAACAATTTGGAGAAATTTGTAAAAACTTATATTGGTGTTCCCATGGCCATTGACTGAATAATCTGTGGGGAGAGTTGCTTCCTTGAGCCACAAAGCTATCCCAAGGTTGCTGTTCCTCCAAGAACTAAACGTCAGTCAACCAGTTGTCATTCCTTTCTTTCACGAAATAAGAAGGATCATGATGTGGCTGGCAGCAAATCATAGCTTTCTAAAAAGGGTTAAATTTCTTCTGGTCCCTCCTCCTACTTAGCCTAACCCAACCTATCCAAAACAGCAACTTCTATCAGTAGGGCAGGATCCATCTTTTCCATATATCTATTTCTGTTAAGACCCTATTTTCCAACAGTAGTTCTTTTTGCTGAGAAAACACATAAAAGTGCAGGATACAGGAACCAAAGACAAACACCTCAAGAATGAGTGAGTGCATCTAAGTATTTCATTAAGCAACTCTGGGAAAGCATGGTCCTATTCCGACAGGCATCTGAAGCTACGGGCAGAGAGGAATTCTAGGAAAGGTCCCACTCCACCAAGCTAGACACTGTTCAACTAGTTTTGTGTTCCCCAATTACACAATTACTGATAACAGTGTTGGCAATATTTGGATTTACACTCCTCCTGAACCCTAAAAGACTACACATGCATTTATCACACTTCCTGCTTTCTCACAACTTGCCAAATATTCATGTCTGGCTTCTCTCTTGAGGCTCTGCCTCCCACTTAAAATTTATTTCCTTCAATTTAGAATTAGTGTTCCTTATTTCTGATTCCCCAACAGATACACTGGCATAATCCACTTTTGCCAGGTAGAGATTCAACCTTTCAAGATGTGAAAAGAATACTAGAAGTTATACTCCTGGGCTTGTCTCTCATTTCCTTATATGCAAATGACTTCTAAAATGAATCAATTCTACTCTCTAAATCTTTAACCCACTAAGTTTCAAGTTTTCAATTGTGTGACTATTTCAATGAAATTGTAACAGGTGCATTAAAATGGGTTGGGAATCATAATCTAGAGCTTTTATCATTTTATCTGAATTATTATAAATTTCCTAACACTTCTCTCTGCCTCTAATCCCATCCTGTCTAATCTGAAATGTATGATTGTCTTTTTCCTTCCTAAAATCATAATTTGGTGTACCTATCTCTGCAAGATTTTTTATTTGCTTACCTCTCTAGACAGAGTAACTCTTGAAGACTGTCATGCTTTTCTCCATCTTGGATATGTGCTGTTTTCTGCCTTAAGAACACCATCCCCAAACTTCACACTTGGCATATTCCTTTATCCACGTTCCTTAGAGGTATGATCTATTTGTTCTTAAAGACTTACCATTCTCGTCTAGTCTGAGTTTAATAACTCTTTTGTATCTTCACAACAGCTTGTGTTTACCTCTGCCAGCATTCATTACTCTCCTTACATGCTTGATTATTTTTTGGCTTCACCCACTATAAAATAAGTTCCTTGAGGGCAGCCATCTTTCATTTCTGTATTCTTGGTCCTAGCCATGCACAAATTGTATAATGCTTAATTTTTAGTTACTGAGACAATAGTCACTAGATTTTATGAGCGTGGAAATCAGAACCCATAATGTTCTCTATTAATATCTTAGCTTCTTTAAACACATCAATTAAGGTCTTAAGATATTACTATCACGCTTCATGACTGGACAGAATAACAAAAACTTATTCATAGAAGGGCACAGAATTTTTGTTTATATTAACCACAAATATTATTAAGAGCTTACTATGTGCCTCATCTTACATATATGTACCTTCCCACTTAATACAATAATCCTTATATAGGAATTGATATTACCTTCTTTTTTTTTTCAACAGAAAAAAGTGAGGATAAGAGAAATTATCTTGCTCAATGTCCAGCCATCTGGCTCCAGAACTCAGGTTCTTAATTACTATGCCACAAAATTCAGTACCTCTGATATCATGAAAACTATGCTTCCAAAGATTTATTACTCTTCTAAAACACAGCAGAATGCTACTAACTACAACTTTTAAAAGTTATGACTGTATACTATACTAGCAGAGCATCCCTCCTCAAAACTTAACAGCTCTCCAATCATATTTCAATTATAATTTACAGGTAGGTTTACATTAGAAATTTCAAAGTATATCTTCACTTAAATAATGAAGAAAAATCTCTTTGTCCATTGCCACTACAATAATTTCTTAAGCTGTTACAGAATTTTAAGTAGTAATTTTGGAGTCAATTTTGTGGTAATGGATATACAAAATTAAAGAAGCAATAACATCAATTAATTCATGGTGACTTTTCAGCATTCAGATATTTCTCAGTTTTATTATAATATACTGTCAACTTATGGACAAAGGAAATATGACGATTTTCCTTAAAAGCATTATTTTCTTCACTTCTAAATAATGGGATAATTTAGCAAGATCATTTGGAAGTTTATTTATTAAAATATCAATAATGAATTGTTCCATTTTAGTTTAGAACACACTAATACAAGTTGTTCCTAATACATTTTCTCTATTTGTTGTGACTGGTACTTTTTGTAACTTATTTAACAGAAAAATACTTTCAAATAGAGGAAATTAAGAGGTATTACAAAAGAGTTGTGGAAACCATGGATAAAGCAATAAAACAACAGAGGTAAATAAATTCCTATCATTACCATGATTTTCAAACAATGAAACTCACATAAAGAGTCACTGGAAAGAAATGTAATGAAGTGATAATCAGTATCATCATCAAATTCCAATGTACTTTTTGTATCTCCCTCTAGAGTATGCTAACTCTATTATATGCACCCAAATACTCAAAATCGAATAATAATCAAACATTTTCAAAATACTGAAACCAAGTTTACTGATAACAGGATACAAGGCAGCACTGTAAGTTTATCAAACAAATGATCAGTGCTCACCAATTTCAACATACCAAATCAGAAAAGGAAAGCATGAACATTTAATTACAGAAGAACTCAGTCACTTCTGATGCCAAGAGGCAGTGTCCGTGACAGGTACACCTCACTGTCTAGGGCAGAGCTAAGAAACATAGTGTGGTTAAAAGTTACTATAGTATCACTTAAAATGTTTCCATTTATTTCTGAAATGTTAGTTCATGTCATGCTATTCTCTCTCTATGAACAAAAATCTATCTCATTATTAGCCATTGGTCTAAAATTAATAATGGCTTAAATAACTGAAAATCAAACAATTCCTCTAAGTACAGTAACATTGCATTTTCAGCTAAAATTAAATAATTAAATACACCTGGTTTTGTCAAAGCCTTTTACTGTCCACAGTTAACTTAGGAGTTCAGGTATTTCCCATTTAATACAGGAATTGGGTGATTGAAAAAACATTCTGTTTCCTAGCTTAAGCACAGCATTCACAGAATATGGTACTCAAGTACTGTTTGGGAAGTTATTACCAAAAATGTTTTACCAGCTGTCCTGAATATGAATCACTACTTGTAGTATACCAAGTAGCACTTTCCTTTTAAGAAAACCAAGTGGCAACTCAGTTTTACAATGAAAAGATCTGGGTAAAGAAGGAAAGACAGTAGATAGTAAAATGAATAATATAATCACTGTTATTTACAACATTGCAAAAAATATATATATCGGAAGTTACGTACCTTAGGAAAAATAGGAGGATGGGCCAAAAACAAAGCACAGACATGCTAGTTTTTTTGTTTTTGTTTTAAACTAAGAAAATATCTGTATAATAACAAGGTACAGTGAACAAATGACACTTCATGTTTAATTACTCATTATTACTATATACTGAGTTTACTTCAGTATAAATCAAAATTGCAAGAAAATGGCCCAAATGAACTAGAAGACTTCTAGCAACTAACAAATTGTACTCATATTTAATAAGCACCATTTACTTCTAAGTAGTTTTACACAGTTTCCAACACTCTGATTTAAATGGAAACTTCCTCTGTGAAAGAATAAGATAATTTGGATATTATTACCAATGCATAGTGTGGGTATAAATTAGGTGATAAATCCAATTATTCTTGAATTTTAAAAAAGTTTCATGCTTTGTTCAAATGTAGCTTACTGTTGAGAAAATTCCCATCTTCCACTCTCCAAGTCAGTACATAAAAGTAGATAGTATTTACATTGAATTTACAGTATTTTTCACTTAAAGGAATAACCCTATGTCTTGCTATAATATCTAAATGATTGCCCTTAAACTTCACCATATCCTTACTTAGAAACACAGCCATGAGTCAAATAAGCTTTGAAAAGAATTCTTCCATTTTCATTAACTCATTGAAAATGAAATCTAATATATACTGCAGATATGCTAAGGTGGTCCTCATCATTTTGGGGCTACATTCTAGTGGGCAAAAACTGAAATAATCATACAACATTTAAAAGAAATATAAGATTTGCACTTAAGAAACCAAAACCTATATATTATGCAGCAGTTAACGACATGACTTTTCAATGTTTCTTTTATCACCAAAAATCAGTTATAGAAACAATTGTTTATATTTCAATCTTAAACATGGCTCTTAAAACAATATATAATATGATTTGTAACTAAATCTGCAAAACATATGAAGACTATAGTTAGTCTACTATTTCTCTGGTAAAGAGTCAGACAAAACAATTTTTCTGTTTTAAACATTCTGGCAAACAGAAAAAAAAAAGATGGATCAAAGTAGTATGACAAATTGGCAATAAATCCATTATGGACAAAAAGTGGCACTAAAGTGAAATTTAAAAACATATTGCTTTCTATATATGCACATGTAACCTTATTTGAAGATGAGTACTTACAAAGATTCTTCTAGAAAGCTATAAACCAACTTGATAATCCAGGCTTTTAATTTCCATAATATTTAGTGTTCAGTAGTTTCAGCTGAATATTTAAATATCCAACATAATTTTATGTCCCACTTATACTATTCAGTGTTTGCATACAGACTGCAAATATTATAAGAGATATTATAGAATAACACTTATAGTATTTTCCAGAATAACTTTGATTTTGAATAAAAACTGGAGCATTTGAGCTTACCCCTCCTCCCGCCTCCTTTTCCCTAAATTCTTCATTCTAAGAAGTCATTAGAGATTGAATTTAAAATAAAAATAACAACTTTGTAAATGTTAACAAAAAGGGATTGTTTTAAACAGATTTCAGTAAAAATTTCTATATACAAACATTAATAATCAAGTAGCATCGACAGTGACAAACACTAAACTTTCTTTAAAATCCCAGGAGCTTCAATTGTAGCAGCTGCAGCACACAGCCTTATGATAGACATAGGCTAAATTATTAAGACTGAGAATATGGGACAAGGTAAACAAGGAAAAGTGAACTTAAGCCGGTACAGTTCAAAAAGTAAAGTTTACAAGTAAGCTATATCAGAAAATCAACTGCCAGAATATAAACAATTAATTACCACAGCTATAATAAATCTCTTAAGAATGGAAGACAACAAAGTAATTCTTATCACAATATACCAGTAGTAGAAAACAAATTAATTATTCACAGTCTAAGAGGCTTTCCTTGGGGGAGTACATGAGGGGAGGGTGCAAAAGCTTACACAATTGAAAATGTGAAATAAATTCAAACTAAGATTTTATGAAAAAAATTTAAGAATGTTTCCCTTGAGGGAAAATAATTTTCTACAACTACTAAAAAAAAGCACCTATGAAACTGTGCTGTTGGCTGACACAATGGAGGTTTTGGATTCTTTGCAGCAATTGCAGCATAACAAATGGCATTTTTCACAGCATAACTTGAGGGAAAATGTTATCTAGTTTGAAATCATACAGAAAGCAATTAAAAATTATTTTAATTATTCATAATACACAAATTTTTCTGGGTAGCAGCAGTTGCTCCTGTGCTTGCCCTTTTAGAAAGTATGAAACAGAAGCAATAGAGTAGGGAAACAAACTAAAGGAAAATAAGAGCAGCAGAGTTAAATTAAAAAGCAAATACTTAAATACATTAAAGAGAGCTTAAAATAAGGAAACAGTATTGTGCAACTCTCAATTAAACTAAGTAAAGTGCACTGCCTAAATATTTACTGATAACATTTTCCCTATGTTGAAAATGCAAAATCTACTTATTGTTGATATATTTTTTTTTTCTAAAAGACATTCACTATTGTAGCCCTGATAGCTCTCTTCCAGTATTTTTAACCATTCAGATATATTTTGGGGGAATATTTATTCACATAATTTTGCTTAATACATTATTTTTTCTACACAAGGCTCAATTTAAAAGTCTCTAACATTTTCAATAAGAGTAATAACACATTAATAAATTATAAATGAACAAAATCTTTGTATTTGCTTTAAAAAATCATTTATCAAATGTTAACTTCCAGATTATCTGGAAAATTAAAGGTGTGAATTGCTATAAACCTGACATCCCAATTTTAAATCCTGATGTTTAAAGGTATATAAAATACCCCTCAAATTATTCCAACTTCCACTTCAGAAATTTCTGTTTTACTCTTTTTCATAAATTCTAAGCTTATGCTCTGCTACACATTTTACCCAAATGTGGGAAAACTGCCTGGAGATGCAAAGTACAATAAAATAATCACATGAAAAAAGAAAAAAAAATACCCGTTAAAACAAAAGTTATTATAGCTGGCAGCACTTAAAATGAATAATTTATATTATTTTAAAAGTTGCATAGCTGCAAGATGATTGCTGATTAAATGTTGAGCAGTTTTATTTAAGAGGAAACAATATATTTTATAAACTACAATTCAGTAGACAATTTCTACATTTATTTAATTAAAATGTAATTATGTAACTTGATTTATTCTTTGGGCAGCATTCTGATAATATTTAAACCTTTAATTTAAAAACAAACATATTTTAGTTTTCCTATGTAGAAATTAGTTTTCCACACTTGGGGGAAAAAATGGAAGAACTTGAGATCATGGTCTACATTCAGAGAATGTTTTACTGCTTGATTACATTTCTTGGTTTCACATTTAAGACTTTATGAGAAGTAACTTATATGGTTTTTCAATTTAAGAATAAGTGAATGCAAAAACATTACGTTGGGGGAAATAAAAGAGACCCCAAATTAAAGAAACAAAACAAAACAAATCAAAACACAGCTAGTTGCGCAGCTCTAGAGAACTGAATAAAAAGTAAATCAACTTTTAAATCAGTTAACTTTGGCGTCTGAATACAAAATGTTCATCAGTATTACCTATGTAGATGACTATTAAGGGATGTGCAGCATTTTCAAAATCCCTGTGTGTCCCTTATATGCAAGTTTGGTACACTGAGTTCTGTGGTTACTGTCCTCTCTTCAGCAGGATGTTTTTTCTTTTTTCTTGTGTGATTGTCCATCTCTGTATTACCAAGTCTCACAGAACTCAGATTTCTGGCTGAGTAAGCCTGCATTTTTGTTTTTCCAGAGACAGATCCTCAAATCCTCTAGATTTTTCAAGCATCCTGAAAAGACAAGAAAACCTATGTAAAATAGATAAATTTAGTTTAAGCTGTGGTTCATCATAGTAATACAACTCAATACATGATATCCATTTCCTCATGAACATGGTTTTAGTAATTATAAATTTTCATATCCTATTTACTATTCCAAAAACTTGTAAAACTAATGTTCTGCAGAAGAAATCAAGACACAGAAGGACCAGTTATAAAGTTTAACATAGTTACAAAAATTTGCCAGTACCTAACAGCTATTCCTCTTCCACAATAAAAACTACATGAGGATAAAGAATACACACAAATACACAAACTTAATTTTTCAAACTTCCCCCATGTAACTAAAAATCTCAATATAAAAATAGCAAACAATTTCCTAATCAAGACCTGAGATATTCATGTATCTCTATTTTGGGTAGATAACTGAATTCTTAGTTATAAAAAATGTTGGACCTTGTTGTTATATACTTTCTTTCTGATTTTAGCATTTTAATAACACCAAATCCTCTTCAAACCCATATACTTTGCCTGTAGGCTAGATAAAGGAACAAAGAATTTATCACTTGACAAATAAGAACAGTCAGGAAAGAAACAAAAATGTGAGTTAAGATAGATTATATATTTTATATATATATATATATATATATATATATAAATTCTTAAAAATGATTCTTCAAGGCCTTTAGAAGACTGACCTCACTGGTACAAATTTCTGTAGGGAACCAACTACACAGTTCAACGTGCCCCACATAGTAAGTTAGTTTCAAAACTTACAATTCTATATTTTTAAAATCCCACAAAGATAACATTAATATGTAAAAAACCAGAAATCCTGCTTAAAACTGACATATCTCTGTCTGTTGAATGAAGATGTGTGTTCCATGTGTCACATAAGCTCACTGTGACACTAAAGAAAAAATTTTTAATTTAAAAATTCCACCTCATAGAAAAAAACTATTGACGCCACCATGGGACTGAATGTTTGTATCTCCTCCAAATTTCCATGTTGAAATCCAATCTCCAGTGCAATAATATTAGGAGGTGACTGGTCATGAGGGCTTTGTTCAGGAGGCTACATTCCTTCTGCTATCTAAGAATAAACAGAAGGTGCCACAAATGATGAACAAGCTCTCACCAGACCTGGAATCTGGTGGTACCTGATGTTGTAGTTTCCAGTCTCTAGGACTATAAACAATAAATTTCTTATTCATAAATTAACTGTATGAGGTCTTTTGCTATAGCAGTGTGAATTCACAAAGATAATTAAAAGGAAGAATCTTATCTGTAGGTGAAAGATTTAGATATATTAATTTGGCTTGTAAAATACTAAGATAAAAATTTCATTTTATTATCATTGGGTTTTAGTACTTAGTTCTAGACATGCTTCTAAAATTTTAGCCATAATTTTAATTTATGGGCCTAATCATCAGACAACACTAATAGCATTCCAAAGTATTCCCTTCAAAAACCTTTTTTCATAGTGATTAAAAACATACATGAACATGTACCCCAAATACCACTCTATCACAATACTTTTCTAACTAGCAAATATCCCAGTTCATATTTTCAATGTGTCAAGGAATGATCTAAGTTCACAGTAAAAGGTTCATCAATTGATAGTCTTTAACTACTCTACCACAAAAGGTTTTCACATTTCACATGCACAGCCTTACTGTTATGAAAAAGATCTCTCAATGCAGTTCTCATTTCAGTTATTAGGACTGCTATTAAATTACCTCAAATCTCTTATATCAACATTCTAATCTGCTACCCTAAAATAAACCTTATCAATACAGCAACAGAATTCCTTGAGTGTTTATAACCACAACACTTATATTTTTAAATTTAAGAGTAGGAAATGGTAGAACAGTACAGGACAAGACCTCAGGATATCACTTGTCATCAGTAACACTACACATTTAGCAAAACTATGAGTCTCAGACTCTAACTCCTGAAATAATTCCAAGATGAGCTAAAATGTCCTGCTTTGACATAAAAATCCAATGTGTTGCATCATAAAACAGTCCTTTCCTAAAAGCTTGTCATATACTTGAACATAGCAATTAAGTCAACTTGTATTTTTCCAAAACTAAATCATGCCATTTAATTTACTTCATGGATTATGAAGAAAAGCAACACCTGGTAAAATTATCCTTCAATTCACTAAACATTTTCAGGTAATGCAGAACAAAAGCTAAATCATCAGAGCAAAACTAATCATTTGGCTTCAAAATCACACACACACATATACATACAGCCTACTACTACAACATGCTAAGAATATAAAGATGAATGATTAAATTGACTGAATAAATTCATGATGTAACTTTCTGAAGAAAATGCTTATACTTATTTATAATAAAATTTCTAAGAACATAGTCTTTAGAGCCAGAATTCTATTCAGTTCAAATTCCAACTCCACTAATAAACCAGCTATGTGACCTTGACAAGACTAGTTTTTTAAACTTTCTCTACTTAATTTCCTCATCTGTCTAAAAGTATTAATTCAAAGAGTCAATGTAATAAAATATTAGCTCAAAGAGTCAATGTAATAACTAAATAAGAAATGGATATAAAGTATTTGGAACATTTTTCTGGAACATAACAATTCTAAGTGATTAGACTTAAGTTACATTAGTTAAGAACACATCTGAGGTTATGCTCAAGAGTGTGAGATCTGATTAATTTGCTAACTAACTTTTAATTGATCTGTAACTTCTGATGAAACTTTTCTTTTTTGTTCTTTAAACCACTTTATTGAGGAATAAACAGCATACAAAAATGGCACATATTTAACATATGCAACTTAAGAGCTTGGTACAACTTGCTGTTTTTTGTTGTTGTTGTTGTGCTGCTGGGGACTGCCTAGCATGCATGGTGCACTGGATTCAAACACTCCTCTCTACCACTGAGCACATCCCCAGTCCCTAGAAATTGCTTCCATTTCCCCACCCCCCCCCCTTTTTTTTCTTTTACAATTTGCTTTATGACATCATGGAACTTAGAATACTATGAACCTCAGGTTTCTTGCTGGGAAAACTGGGTTATAATATGTACTTCATGGGTGGTGGTGGTTGTTTTATTTTTTTCCCCAATACTAAACTATAAATAAACAAATGTGGTTTAAGAGAATGTAGCAGTTACTCAACATCTGATCTATTTAGGAATGAAAAAAGTTCTTTTTAACATTTTTTTGTTGTTGTTACTTTGGGTTCATTTGTTTGGTGTTGGGGATTTAACCCAGAGGCAGGTATACTAAACACTGCACTTTACCACTAAGCGACACCTCTGACACTTTAAATACATTTTTTAAACTGAGTTTTCTACACAACAGTCTAACAAAATATCTAAAACATACATATACACACAGGCTCATGCATGTGCATCACAATGAATAAGGATGAATAAAAATGATGACTGAAAATGTGTAATTCAAGACAGCTTTTTAAAAAGTAAAACAACAAATGGAGAATTACCTATAAAACAGGAATCTGATGCTTAATCTGAAGGGTGCTCAGGACAAGATCTATTTACTTCAAACCATTCATCTATGCAGCTAGAAAAGAACAAACCAGAAATTAATTTAAAGATACGTCTAATAACTATGTCAACCATAATAAAAATGTTTACTTTCTTGACTTTAACATATGTTTGGAAGAAAAAAATTTAAAGACCATATTTGGTATATTCAAATAAAACACAAGCAATCTTTGTGAGATACTGGGTATTTTATTTTATTATTATTATTTTTTGAGGTACAGGGGCACTCTACCACTAAGCTATATCCCCAGTCATTTTTATTTTATTTTTAGACAGGGTCTTGCTAACTTACTCAGGCTGGCCTTAAACTTGTGATCCACCTGCCTCGGCCTTCCAATTTGCTGGGATTACAGGAGTACATTACTATTCACAGCAAGCACATGTTTAGGGGGAAGCCCCTCTAACCTGGGTGTCAGGGGGAGCTATTCTATGCCACTAAGGAAAAAAAACCTTTCCAAAATTACACCGTGAAACACTTGAAAATTTAAACAGAACTATTTCCTAAAGACAATCTCAAGAACTACTCAAGAACTATCAAGAACTACTATTTTATTCAAAATTAAAGGACCAATTTATAAAAATATTTCTTTTCAAAATAGTTATGCACATATCAACCTTTTCATGTCATTTATCAAATTTTGATTCTTGACAACATCATTTTTAAGATCACACTTATATGATTACTGAACATTTATTTTAATTCTATCCTGCTCTGTAATGCATATACATACACAAATAAATATACTGGCATCCATTTGAATTTAGAGTATTTCACAATCTTGTTTTTTATTAGAAGTTAAATTTTAGGGTGCATGTAATTATCCTCAATGTAGATCTATACTCTCCAGTATAGCCATAAGGAGTAAATTTAAATTTATTAAGAAAAAATCCTTAGTCACATTTCAAGTGTGCAACAATGATATGGCTGGCTAACGGCTACTCTATCAAACGGCACAGATTCAGAACTTTACATCACTGTATGAAGTTCCAATTCATGGTACTACAACAGATGATAAAATCAAGGTCCTGGAAGGTTAAGTAACTTTCCCAACAGGCATTAAATTCTCCAAGCAGGATTCAAACTGTTCAACATTCTCCTTGGTGACATGTGTCAAATTTGCCTTACACCACAAGGTTAGCTTAACCTAATATGTTGAAGGGCAAAATTTGTATTTATCATTCTCATATCATAACAGGTTGGTTTAGTACATAAAAATGATAAAAACCGGTAAAAGAAGCCAGGCATGGTGGTACATGCCTGCAATTCCAGCTATTTGGGAAGTTGAGGAGGGAAAATCATTTGAATCCACAAGTTCCTGGGCAACTTAAAAAAAAAAAAAACCCACCTCAAAAACAACAAAGAAAAGCGAAGGGCCCCATCCATGTTTCAAATATTTAAAACAATTTCTGTTGCCATTAAGATTTTTGTTCTCTAAATTCATAACAGATTTGGCTTATAACATTGTTTTCAGCCAGCTCTCAACCACTTGTTATAAAAGCCCTCTGTTCTACCAATACTTCTGAAAAGGAAGGAGTGAGACCTGAACAAAATACTCCAGATACATTAACAATAGTACCTCTGAATAATAGCTATGTGACCTAAACTGAGTACTATTATTTACTTTTTATAGCCACGTAATACTGGCTCATAACGTGAAAGTCATCATTAAAATCCCAGGTGTTTTTCATATAAAATGCTATCAATCCACATATTCTCCATTCTTAAATAAATATTTTTCACTGATTATTTAAAATACTATATTCCCTTTCCTATCCCCAGCTTTTCATTCTTAGCTATTTTCTTACTCTATAACTATATACGTGTGTATATAGTTATAGAGTAAGAAAATATATATATAGTTATATATATATAGTTAAAACAACATATTATGCTTATTCTAACTTTGTTTGTACCAAGAATTGAACCCAGGGGTGCTTAACTACTGAGCTGCGGCTCATTTTATTTTTTATTTTGAGACAGAGTTTAAGTTCTTAGGGCCTAAGTTGCTGAGGCTGGCTTTGAACTTGCCATCCTCCTGCCTCAGCTTCCTGAGCTGCTGGAATTACAGGCACATGCTACCGTACCCATTTCTACGTGTTTTTTTTTTTTTTTTTAATTAATGCTTTTTTCCTCTCAATTTGTTTAAAATTTGTGATTGTTAATAAGGTTCACTTTTTTAAATTCCCATTGTATAGTATTCTGTTATATAAATACACCAAAATTTTTGTGTCTATTCTCTTCCATTACTTACAGACATTTCCAATGATTTACAAACATACTCTGAAAGGAACTTGCAACAGAATATAAATTAATTTTGTCACTACTCAGTTTGAACTGTATTTTTTTAAAAATATTTTTATTTATTTATTTTTTTAGCTGTAGTTGAACACAGCATCCTTATTTTTTTTTATTTATGTGAATGTGGTGCTGAGGATCAAACCCAGAAACTCCCATGTTCGAGGCGAGCGCTCTACCGCTGAGCCACAACCCCAGCTAAACTGTATTTTTTTTTTTTTTTTTAAATTATATTCTGGCATGAGGTCCTAATCTCTCCCTGGTCCTGTACTTTGTGTTGTCTGGAGCAAAAGATCAAAAAATTTTCTAAGGCATATATCTGTAGGTGGAATTACTGAGTTGTAGTAAAAGTACCGCACACACTAAGTTGCTGAGGCTCTCAACCACTTGTTATAAAAGCCCTCTGTTCTATCAATACTTCTGAAAAGGAAGGAGTGTCCACTAAATAGATGAATTTACATTTGTTTATTTGTTCACTATTTGAGGTTCCTTTTTTCTGAATCATTAACAATTTTTATAATTTTTCTACTTTGATTTATCTTTTTCTTATAGATGTTTAGAAAACTATTATTCTACAATATAATATACATGTTTTTGATAAAACTTGCTTTCTACAAAATCATACACTAGAAGTAACAGAGATTATGTGGAAAAAAAAAAACAAATTAAGGGTAGATCACTCAATACAACTTTGCAACCAGAACAAAGACATTCATATCTAATAAATAAAACACAATTGTAAATATAGAATGTTTTAAAAACAACGGTGAAGTTGGCATCAGTCAAAGAGGATTAAGGAAGGATGTGATGAGTTACAAAGACAAAACTGTGAATAAGTACTGCTAAATCCCATAGGCTAACTTGAACTAAGAATAAGAACATGGGGAGATGGGTATTCTTTTATGGCTTATTGTGTTAGCATATGTTTTTATTTGCTGTTATTCAATGCAGCAAAATTTTATGTGCTAGGAAATATCATATATAACCCAATAAAAGATGTCATTATATTATTATCGCAATGAGTACAATGAGTTAACCACATTAGGAAAAGTGACAAGAGTATTATTTCACATTTAAAACCTCTGTTGTTGTGTTGAAAGTCACATTCCTAGATCAGTTTGTGTTTGCACAGTATCATGTCGCAAGTAAGTTTTTGATTTCAACATAATCAAATTTATCAATCTTAAGTTTTGTGCCCCCACCCCACTCCAGGAATAGTATTATCTTAGGAAAAATAATTTTTTACCAAGAAGTCAAAAACATTTTCCCATATTCTTTCCCCAAGACTTCAGATTTTGATTTTCACAGTCTGGAATTGACTTGTATTTCAAACATAAAACAGGAATTCAACTGTTCATATTAATAAATAATCAATCAAAGCACCATCTAATGAACAGTTTATTCTTTCTCTATGACACTGTAATATTATCTCTGGCAAATCGATTTTTTCATTTATTCAACAAACTTTATATAGCATCTATCAGTGCCAGCACTTCCCAAAATTGAACTCATTTAAACCCTTTTAACTATATTAAGTTGATATTATTGTCCTCATCTTACAAATTCAGAGAGAAAAACTGAATAATGTGACTAAGAACACACAGGGAATTAGTGGAGGAGTGAGAGTCCTGACTTCAGAATTGATGTTCTTAACTCTCATGCTACGCTCTTTGTCCATACAGGCATATGAGTATTTATGAACTCTGTTTTGTCCCAATAGTTTACCTGGGTCATTTCCATACTATCTTAATATAGTCTTGCAATAAATGTGTATAGGACAAATCCTCTAACATGGTATTTTTCATGAGTATCTTCACTGTTCCTGCCCTTGGCTCTTGATTACACTAAAAAAAAAACAAAACTAGGTGAGGTTTGATTGGACTAGTATTAACTATATAGAGGTTTAGGATAAAATAACATCTTTCTGACACTGAGTTTTCCTATACATGATATGATATGATGGATACCCTCTATCTTTCTATAAAGTTTTAAATTTTTGTCTAAAGCAAAGCGTTGCATCTTTTGTAGAATTTATTCTGAATATATACCTCATAGCCCTTGTAGTTTCTGGTGCTTTAATGTTATTATTTAAAGGAAAGTTACATTTTGTTTTTTTTTTTATTGGGATATGAATACAACCAATTTCCACGTTGATTTCCTATCTGGGAACCCTGATGAACTCAGTGATTTTAATAATTTATCTAATATGTATTCTTAGCTTTGTTTTAAAATCATTAATACATAAGCACAAAACTTTATAAAAGCTTTCTCACATTTATTGAGTTGGGGGGTCTTTCTCCTTCATTGATGTAGTCAATGACATATATAAATTTTCTAATCTTATGTTTTCATTAGTAGCATAAATCCCATTGGTCATGAAGCATTATTTTAGATATGTATTATTACTTTTTTGGTACTGGGGATTCAACTCAGGGGCACTCAACCACACTTCATGTGTGCTTGAAAAGAAAATGCATTCTCTAATTGTGAAATACAGATACACTCATTAGTTTAAACTTGGTAAACTGCAGTTCTCAATTCTTCTTTTTTGTGTACCCACTTGATGATAACTGTGTTGAAATTTCCTATTATTTTGGTATATTTGTCTATTTCTTCTGATAGCTTGTAAATATTTTGAGGGTATGTTTTTAAAAAATAAAAGTTTTACATATTTTGTATCATTATTTAGTGACTATTTCTAGTAATGCTTTCTGATATAAAGTTATCTTTGTGTGACATTAGTTTAGCTTTGTTTTATTTATTATTTGCCTGGATATAGTTTTCTATCCTTATACTCTCATATTCATCTATATCCTTATGTTTAAGTGTTTTGTTAATCAATAATATGTCTCAACCTTTCAAACTATATTTTCAGCTGGTGAGCTTGTTCTTTATAGATTTGTTTTAATTGTTGATATATTTTACCTCCTTATTTTGCATTATTTACACTGTTTTCTTTACACTTTCCCTAGCTGCACTTTAAGTAAAAATGCTACCTTACTTTGAACCCTACAGTTTTAAATTGTTTTTATAGTCACCTCAAATAGTTGTAATTTGTTTGTTTGTTTAACCTAAAATACAGTTCTGAAAGCAAAACGACTGTGTAAAAAACCAGACAGGCTCTGAAGTTAAGCAAATGTCAAATCCGGCTAGGATTTTATCTCTACCATTTAGTAGCAATGCAACCCTGAAAATATTCCCTGATACCTTAGTTTATTTTCTCTATTGTAAAGTGAGATTGTTACAAGGCTTACACAAGATACCTATTTAAGAAGCTATGGACAATAACTGGGGTCATGGTAAATGCTTACAAAAAAGAATAGCCTTTTGAATACAAAAGATGTGGAGTTCAAGTCTTAGATAGCAAGAGAAAAAAGGCCCTTACATTTTAAAAAAGTTGAGGGGAGGGGTTTCAATGATGAAAACAACCTTTCTGACCTAATCACAATGTTTGAAACTATGATAGCCATCTTTTGCTCCAATATCAACTTGGTTAGTAGAAAAATAAACTTACCTTTTATGATATATGCATAGGCAAGGCAGTCGTGCTATAGTATCTCCCTGCTGCAATTCTTCAAGACATATTGCACATTCCCCAGCATCTTTACTCAGTACATCCTCTGTAGGGTAAAAAGGAATTCAGGACAATAAAATTAGTTAGCAAGTTGAAAAAAGATTTATGTGAATGCTAGTTTACATACAGTAGTGATCTCAGCATACTTGAAGTATCTTTTATCAGAATTACACAAAACTCAGCATCCATACTAAGAATACTACTCATGAATAAGTGAACCATGTTTATCTCCATTGACATCACTATCCCATGTTTCCATTTTATTTATGCATTACTATAAGCAAGAATAGTACAGAATCTTAAAACTTGCAAAGGATTTTGCTCTAAAATCAATTAAGTCAGTTGTCTGGAATCCATTTTCATTCTCCTACTAAGCACTATTAGTTTGGTTTCCAAGAACAGTTCAGAAAAGCTTAGAGTGTAACATGATTGAAAAGACATGAAAATAAAATACAATTTTTAAAATACAAAAGGAAGTCACCCTGAATATGAGATTTTTACAAAGCTGCTTGGCGGGAGGGGACTGGGGCAGACAGAAGGAAAACAATAGAAAGGAAACACTAAAAAAATTTAGCAGAGGCCTATAATTCCAAATAATATGGTATAACCCTACCACTTCAATTTTTTTTTCTTTAACCACAAAGATCAAAGGTTTTATGAAAGAGACTTTTGGAAATTTGAAGATTTTAGACATTATATGCAGCAGTTCTTCATAACTATTTTCCATGACAATGCCAAGCCAACTCCAGACAGCAGTTACTGGCTTCCAGAGGGCTCTGCAGGTATTTTAAAGTCCATAGCATACTCAAAATTATTAAAAGGTAAACTCCTTATTATGAAGCAAAAGTTCTTTAAAAAATGATTCTCAACTCATATTTTATAATGAAACTTTAAATTACATTTAATGTTAAATTTTATTTTTAAAAGGATCCTGCCTTAAATAGAGCTAGTCAGATATGCTTTGTGACTCTTAAATGCAGAATAACTAAAACATGCTATTACTGAAGAGTATAAAGAAAAAAAATGTTCAGAACATGTGGCTACCCTTTAATGATTCATTTTGGGAAAGCATATTCGGAGAAAACACAACTCTATTTGGTCCACAGAATGGAAAGTACCAGCTAGACAGTGGGGGAAGATGGGCAGCCCATAGGACAACTTCTACAGAATAAGGAAAGGAAAAGCCTGGGTGAGAAGAGTTAGCTGAACCTAGGGAATATCCAGAGTGATTTTAGCTAATAACCAGGGAGCTCAGAAGCTACTATGTTATAGAGACTTAAGCTGGAAAAGATTTCTAGATAAGCAAAGCTGGATAAATTGAAAATGAGGTTTATTTTCACTTCCCTTAAGTTTTCTTTCTACATTCTTGACCTTGGAAGTCTCACCCACTAGTCCCACCCCATCCAAATTGAAAGCCTTTTCTCAATTGCCATTTTTCTCTTAGTATCCTGAATATCTCTCAATGAAAAATTCAGACAGGGAGCCAGTCTAGTGTGAAGCACCCAACTAGGATGGCATCAGTGAAAAGAAGAAAAACAGGAAGAAACACTAATAAATTTTAGTAGTAGTCTCTAATTCCAAATAATATGGTATATCCCAATCACTTCAATTTTTTTTAACCACAAAGATCATCAATATTATAATGAAGAATTATGTGAATATAAGTTCTATAATGAGCTTAAAAATATCAATCAGAACATTTTATCTTACATAAGACATCAATAATTATAAGACATATCATTAGTTTTATAAATGGAGTAAGAAAAAAATGCCTTCATTAAAAAATAAAACAACACTAATTTTTATTTATTTATTTATTTTTTAGTTTTAGGTGGACAAAATATCTTTATTTTATTTTTATGTGGTGCTGAGAATTGAACTCAGTGCCTCACGCATGCTAGGTGAGCACGCTATCACTTGAGCCAAATCCCCAGCCCCACAACACTAATTTTAAGAAGCATCTCATTTTAAGAGATAAAGAAGTGTAACAAAGAAGTGCTATCTTACAACTGATAGAATAGGGCATTACATTTTCTACCTTTAGGAAAATATTAACAATTCACCATAAATTAAGAAAGTGAGATTAGCTTTTAAAAATAAAGAAACAGTACTGCAACATTTTTGCCATAAGCCCAAAGCAACATTCCCAATGAAAATAAATAGAAACCTAAAACATACAGACTCTGAATAAAAAGGAAAATAATTTATCTTACAACATTTTTATGTTGACATATGACCAGTTCTAATTCCTTTATTGCAATAGATTTTTAAAGTCAATTTTTAAGATCAGAATAATTTTAGTATTTAATTAAAATATTTTACATGTAATTAAAAAACATGTTATTAATTTTAATATTATGAATTTTATTCTACTTATAAGAAAATTTGTACAAAGACATTTTCAATCTGTACATAATTAATGAAAATTTATATATATATATATATATATATATAAATGTACTATATAATGCCATTTTAAAATTGACGGGGGCAAGGACTATCCCTCAGATGCTTTGCAGGAACTAATTTGAAAGAATCTTTATTGAATTCAGAATACTGTATTAAAGTAAGCTAATTTAATCATAAGCTCCCTTAAGCCTTAGTAATAAAAAATAATCAGAATTATAGAAAACACAAATTTGTATTGAGAAAGGTACATGTATATATAAATGAAGCAGCCCAATATCTACCAACACAGCTTCTAGTAACATTATCTCTGCTCAGAGAATTAGACATTTTCATATTGCAGCCACTGATTGCTCAAGTGTGTTATGATAAGCAACTCTAAGACAACTCACTGTTACTATAAAACTTCATCACTGATGCCTCAAACAGCAAATACTTAATTTTCAAAATTTAAAGTCTTATTTCCAATGGAATCAGTCTGTGCATACTTAAAAACATTTTCAGTTTTGAAAATTCACTGTGCAATGTAATTAACTTCTGCCTTCCTAGGGGTCTACTATAGTATTCCCCTCACTCACTGCTTATGACATTGACCTTTCATTCAAAGTTTAGAGGTTTTGTCTTCACAAGGGGACTAGGTTTCACAACTGTGAAAAAAGTTATAAGTAATATGATATTCACAGTTAAGTAGGGTCTGGAAATACCACTAAATCCAGGAAATGGAAATATCTTCAAAATAGTTTGGAAAAGATTATTAAAAATCTTTAGACAATCAATTAAAAACATTCAGGATATGTACCCAGAGGTATTTAGCAGTCAACACTTTAGGTCAGCTACTAACTAGCCAAAATTTATATAGAGAAAGGAACATCAACAGATTTAACTACCAGAGTTGGCTAGTCTGGGTTCCCCAGAAGTACTAATAGGTGCAGTCAGGTGAGATTGCAGATAGGAAACTAAACTTGTGTTGCTTTTTCAAAATGTCATTCTTTCATCACCTATCTAAGCGTCTGGAACAGGAAAAAAAATCAGTGCATTGCTTTTCAGTCTCATACTTCTTTTACTAACTATGCATCAATTTAGACATACAGATAGAGTAAAAGTTTAAAGACTAAGAGGGTAATGATTTTTTATTAGAAGTTTGGCACCAGAATCGCTTAGGGAATGAAAAAAATTATATATGTGAGACCCTAAAGATTCTGCAATATATGCCTACCAGAGACAAGAATGCTATTAAAGAAATAGTATGCTGAAGCAGAAAGAGCATTAAAGCTGTGAACTTAATATGAATTTCCATCCTGTTAGGTATGTAACCTCAAAAAATGTTAGTCAACTTCTGAAATGTCATTTAACTCTTCTCTTTAGTATTACTATATTATAGAAATAACATTTTAAATAATCAATATGAAACTTTTTAAGTTACAAAAGACACGATGTAATAATTTTCTTATTAGAAAATACTCTACGGACCTCCCCAAGAACAAAGTCAATTATCTCCCTATTTGTTTTTCTCCCCATCCTGATGGTCCCTTTGTTTCAAACTTAGTTTCATCCAATAATCCCACACTGACCAAGAACTTCTATCAAGTATGTCTGACCTAGCCATTTCTAAACACCTGTTATGATTGCCAGGCTGGGAACAACTCCATGCAAACAATACCACTGAACTGATTTATAAAAGTAGTTTAATTCCATACTTACAGCACTTACAAGTATTCACTCTCTTATGCAGTTTTAAACATACTTATCTTAGATTAATTCTATAAAGTAACTATTGTTACCTGCATTTTACATATAAGAAACCTGAGGCTCAAAGAAGTTAAATAACTTTCCAGAAATTACTAAATTACTAAGTTATGGGACCAGGATTCAAATTTGGTGCACCTAAGTTTTTAGCCTTTTGCCTACTTTATGAATTTTGCTGCAAGAAATAACTTCACTTTAAAGTTGCATAGATACTGATGCGAATGTACAGTTTTAGACAATCTTAAGTTTGCAATACTCAAGCTGGAAGTCACTACATATTTATAGGAAGACTTTTCAAAACTTTTCATGTTTTATTTTCTGGACTTATTAAACTGTTAAACTACTATTAGAATATGAGTTTACACTTAACTATCAACACAGTTTAAAATGGTCCTGTCCAATAGAACACTCTGAAATAAAGGTCGCTCTTCTGTCTAAATGGTAACTTTTAGCTACATATGTTCTGAAAATTGTTCTTGAAATGTGACCAGTACAACTAAAAAAAGGAATTTTCAATTTTATTTAATTTTGGCAAAACGTGAAATCTATATGGTAGATAATGAACGTACACTTATAAATTAGACTTCTGTAAATTCATATTTTACTTATATAGCCTCCAGCTCTTATATTTACATTGTCCAAAGAAATTACTTAAAATTCAAAGCAGCCAAATACGCAAAATTAAAATATTTAGCAGGTTCAAGCACATACTCAGATAGTCATTGTCAAGACAACATGAAAAAAGCAGACAGCCAAATTAAAAAAAAAAAAAGAAGAAATGAACAAATAAAACTGAATTTGTTAGAGGCAGCCAAGAAAACTTCATGCGAGAACTTCATAATAATCACAACTTTATTTTCAGATCAAGCATCCAAACAGGTATATGATCTTTTC